TTGACACAACTTCAATAAACGTTATGCAACATTTTGTGAACATCAATTTATTTGCGTTTATTTGTTATAAATGCCACTGTATAATTCTTGCTGTCAGCATTTGCAAGATATTGGTATTAGGGTCTGTACTGGTTAGACTTAAATGAGTTAAACCAAGGTCTATAGCCCTTGGGTCATAAACTATGAGCTGTAAGTATACTGGTCTTTTTATACTGGGAATCAGGAGTTATTTTAGTGATCATCTTGTTTCTTATTTATTTTTGTCCCGATTGTGCCCTGAGCAATTTTATGACTGAATAAAAACAAATAAAATCAACATAAATAGAAAAATCGTCCTAAATAATCGTGATCTCAATTTCATTCACCATAATCGTGATTATTATTTTTGCCATAATCGAGCAGCCCTACAGGAATGTATATTTTATGCTGCTGCTATTTCCAATGTCGCAGTCGCAGATGAGAAGCAAAACTGTATTTACATTTCAAGTAGCTGCTACCAAATGTTATTCCCTGCCATCACTTGATCCCAGAATAAGGCCTAGTCCACACGTAGCCGGGGTTTTTTGAAAACGAATATCCGCCCCTCCAAAAACTTGCATCCACACCACCTCGTTTTAAAAACAAACTCTGTCCACACGTACCCGGATAAATACGTTGTTAAGGACATGCCAGACCTGTAGGCGGCAGTACTTCCCCCGTTCTTAACCTCGTCCTTCGTCTGTGGTCTTCCGCAAGGAGCAGTAATTCCGCTTGCAAAAACAAACAAGCAGAAAGCGCTTGGACAATTGATAAAGCGAGCGCAGCTCTGAGGGCATCCATGCTGTCGGCTTGTGTAAACACAGGTCGCACACGTGATGTCAGCGTTTTTTGTCGCGGAAAGTGACGTTGCGGACCTTAAAACTCCGGTTTTGTCTGTCCACACGCAGACACCCAAAACGGAGAAAACGCAGATCTTCACTTTGGCCGGAGTTTTTAAAAAGATCAGTTTTCGTGTGAAAAAACTCCGTTTTCGTGTGGATGACAGGCCAAAACGTAGAAAAATATCTACGTTTTGGCAGATCCCCGGCTACGTATGGACAGGGCCTAAATCTTTGATTAAGGAATATTATTTGCACTTTTTCTTTATATCATATAGAAGATGACATTATATGTTGCATATATAGTAGATGGAACCTATTCAGAGGTTAATTCAATGTTTCAGAAAAATTGCTGCTTATCAATTAATCGATCATCGATCGATAAGATGAAACAATCGATTAATGAATTACTCGATAATTTGCATCCCTAGTTAAGGGTCAAACAAAGGCGTGTCATTCGCCTGGGGCAAGTTCCCTTTTCATTCAGAGGCAGAAATTCAACAGCAGAGCTGTGAATCATGATAAAAAGGTCTCTCAAAAATGACAGACCGTCAGATGTGTAGATCGTAAAACGGTCTAAAATCGTCATATCGCCCAGCCCTAGGTCCATCAGTTAATGTAATTGTCCCAACCACAGCTGCACCCCCCACCCCGGGCTCACAGCAATCAATGGCAAGCTGCACGTGTGTTTAGAGCGCCGCACACGCACATTTAGCCATTTTTAGTGGCTCAGGAGTCTGCAGGTACGGTGTGTGTGTGTCACTCACTCTGGTTACTCCAACAGGGAGCCGGCTCCGAGAGCCGTTTCTGTAGCGACTGACACATCACTACATCATTCCCTTTCCTAATGTCCTGAAGAACTGTCGGGAGCGCAGGCGGAGTGTTTAGCTAACCTGCAGGAAATGTCGACGACAGTTATCCAGAAAGTAGCTAAGGGTTACCAGAGATGTTTCTGAGGTGTTCGCTAGGTACTTTTAAGACTTAAAAAGTCAAGAAGGGGGTCTGAGAAGCTGTTGGAAATAGCGTCAAAGTCGCCAAGTTGGCAACACTGTGGGAGGAGCGCTTCATTTGCAACTCAGGGCAGCGCAAGTGGGAGGAGCAAATAATCGGCTTGCTTTGTTTGTATAATCGTTCAAAACTCAGATCGTAATTGTGATTAAAATTTGATTAATTGAGCAGCCCTAGCTAATCATGTCTCCTACATTTCGGCATCAGTATTAGCAGTAGGAAAACCAATATTGGTCGGCCTCTAATTAGCATCGGCTCCACTTCGCCTGGTCCAGGATTGGAGTGTTCTCATTTGTGTAGCCTTGGATTTTCCGGTGCACAATCGGATATCTTTTCAGCCCTCCTCCCAAGGCCACATGCTCCATGCCACACCAGACCACACCTACATGCAGCTAAGCACACCTGGGAAACAGGAAGTAAACTACGCCCAGCAACTGCAACAATATTTTGTGCCACTAGAGGGCGTGAGAGTGGTTTTGACTCAAAAATCACAGTTGGAAAAGTGAGCTCATTACTCAAATGATTCAACTACATTTACTTACATTACTTTCATATTTTATAACATCCTATTTCATATAATGGTTTACAAACACAAAAGGGTAATTTATTAGAGTACTCAATTAATCGATAAAAGATTCGATAGAGTACTCGATTACAAAAATATTCGAAGGGAGGTGGTGGAGGACCTAAACTTGGAGACGGCCAAAGAGAAGGAACACTTAGACAGATAAGAGGAGAACCACTCCAGAGCAGTTGCTGATAGGCCTACCCAGTCTCTCAGCCTCTACAGTAGCAGGTGATGGTCAACAGTGTCAAAGGCTGCCGTCAGGTCCAGCAGGACCAGAACAGAACAGTCCCCTGCATCACTGTGAGTCAGAAGGTCATTAGAGACCGTAAGAAGAGCTGTTTCAGTTCAATGAGCTCTACGGAAACATGACTGGAAGCTATCATAGATAGATCTTCCTTTGGTATTTATAAGTGTCCAATAAATTCTAGAAGTTGTTAAATGTTTACTGGAGGCAAATCAGAGAGGAAAAAGAGATACCGCAAATCAGCCATCAGCTGCAAGAACTTCTATAACTCAGTCATGAAAACCCATATTAGCCAGCCTTCTATCAGTAGAACACTCCAGGCCTGTAGGGCTGTCACGATACTAAAATTTCAAACTCTATTCAATACTGGGGAAAAAAACTCGATAGTCGATACTATTTAAAAACACCAATTTATTGGACAAGTTTATTCAAAAAGTAACATTCCTCAATTTATATTGCAAAAATTAAATGTTAAGAATTAAGTGTATTAAGTGCTTAAACCTTTCAAGTATCAGCAGTTTTTAAAACGTGCATACAAAAACTGGCGAAAGTTAACACTTTTAATCATGAATTGTCTCACTATATATACACTATTTGCAGAGTGATGTTTTGCTGCTTAAACTCTGTTTAAGGTGCATTTTTGTCATAAGATGTAATGCCATATGTTTTGTTCTGTACTTTTGAACAACTCTGTTGGCCAATAAAGGGAGAAAATGAATTTCTGCACAGTAGGACAAAGGTACAACTACCGGTAATCTTAATAAAAACAGACTGGCGCACGGCAGTGACGTCATTAAAAGCGCCGGTTAGATTAGCCGCAGCTAGTCTGTTCACGCCTAGAAATCCCAGACTAGCTCCAAATGAACAGGGGAATCACGTTAATGATTCCTAACAAAACCTTTCGACACTGAGATGTTTTGGTGCAGATAATGTCTTATTTCGAGGCTGCACCATGGGTGCCCGTCCGCACCCGTTATATGGATATACACTGATGGCGATTCGCCAATGGATCTAAATACCCCGGGGAATCCAAGTAGCACCAAAGTTGTCAGCGTGAGTAAACAAACGTACTGCATGCTAGAATTAAGTCCGGGTTGCAATAAACGGGAGTTTTCCTTTAAGCACATAAGCGTGAATATACAACTACGTGTCGGATTTGGTATGCTAATTAAGTTGGGATGTGAAGCGCCTCCGAAATTTGATGTTTATGTTTTTGTTTATTTATTTGGCAGACAAAACTTGGATCGGAGACAACTCGCGTGGGAAATTGCAATGTAGCCATGCGGCAGCTTCTTCTGTTTGTCTGGGAGGCGGAGGCTGCTTTACGGCATCTGGATGTCGTGCGTGTCGGTGTACTTGAAGAAGGCTGTGTATAGTAGTCCATAATATCGATACCACAGGGATGGAATATCTAATTTAGATACCACTTTTAGCATCGATTTATATCTAGGTATCGATTTTTTTGATAACACTACAGGCCTGCAGTCCATGTCTGCTTCACCAGCTGTAACAAAGAGGCTGTATTCAGGTTTTCTAGTCTACTGGTGGTGAGCATAAACTAGATCTCTAGTGAAGGAGTAGACGAACCTGGCTCAGAGCAAAACTTTGTGAAACCTTCCGATACATAGATGATCGTTTTAATATTTAGATGAACGCTTTTAATCCAGTATTTCTAAAGCTGCATATTAAACATTCTCCATGATACAGCGTTACAGGACTAAATCTACTGATGTGCTGTGTTTACATCTAGATTCAAGCCATCCTATTTTACTGCTAACTGCATGTTTAATACTGGTTCAGAGTTAACCCTGTTGTTTCTTACCCAGATTGTTAACCTGCTCTCTGTGCTGTACTAGCTGCCATGTGCAGCACTAGTGGCTAGCTAACGCTGTGTTTGTTTTCTACAATCTTATTAAAAAGCCGACAAAGAAACAATACGAAACGCGCTGAGGAAATGTATTAATTCTTTACGAAACCAAACAGCGTCCCGAGTAAACCCGCTCCACACCGGGACCTTTTTCAGGAAATAGTCCACACCAAAACCACCTTTAGCCAGAGAGCTAATAGCGGCTAAGTTAGCTAACCAACACTGAACCCCAACCTCCAGTCTCGCTATAAATGCGATTCAGCGAGAGTAAGACCCATCGTGCTGACAAATAATATGCAACAAAGTCACAATAAATGACTAATGCAATATCTTTACGAGTCTTGCTAGTATGTTAGCGGTCAGCAGCTAGCCCAGCACCTAGCATGCTACTACATGTAAACCAAGAACCGGCTCGCACAAAGCCAACGGGAGAGGGTATGACGGCTGTATGCTTACCGCTCAGGCCCAAAATGTCTGACTGAATAGTGAATATACTTCGTTTTGCATCTATTTACGAACAAAGCAATTTTAACTGTTGTTCTACTTCATTCAATGAAACCAGGTGGAAGAGCCAGCTGTATTATACTCCTCCTCTTCCTTCCTGTAGGGCGGTAGACTGTTCGGTCCGGGCGCGTTACCGCCTCCCTGTAGACCGGAGTGCCTTCATCCCTACCTGCCTCTGTAGGGGAGCCGTTTACACACTCTGGCACAATGTGTTGAGTTTTGGGCCATTTTTTAGATAACATGACTGAAAACATGCTGTGATGGGACAGGCAGATCTCGTCTGGTCCCATCCCAATGGATTATAATCCATTATGACCAGTGTTGGGCAAGTTACTTCAAAACCGTAATGCATTATTTATTACTTGTTACCCTCATTTTAAAGTAATTCATTACATTACAATATTACAGATTTTAAAATGTAAGGCATTACACTACTTTTGCATTACTTTAGGTTACTTTCACCAATGCAACTTCAACATGAATCTGGTAATCTGACGCTCAGTGAGCTCATGACATATGTGGAAAGTGACAGGGGCGGATTTAGGACTGAAGAAGATCCGGGGCTTAACACATGCGCGCGCGCACACACACACACACACACACACACACGTGACACGCACTAGTCAACATCATATATATTTGTCTTGTACCACATAATTTTTAATCTGAAGCTACATATTAAGCATATTCAGGGCACAGTATTGTTCCTGTTAGTGTTTAGTGTGAGATGATAGTAAATATTCCCGTTCTTTCTCCAACAACTTTACCTGTCAGTAAGCTAACTTTAGGCAAACCAGCAGCACAACAAATATTTTCAAATAAGACTCACAAACCTGAGTCAGCCCCAGTCTCATCAAAGCTCGGGTTCTGTCGTGGTACTTTTGGTCTAAAAAACATTCTATGTCCATCTTTACATTTGTGTTTCAGGCAAAGATTGTAGAAGAAGCCGGCTGCTGAAGGGCTTCTTCTTCAGTGGTGGAGGCTCAGGCAGGCTGTATAAAAACTACTGCCAGCTGCTCCCTCTCTGTTGGACGTTGGTACTGCATGTTACTTCCACGTTTTAGATCCGGGGCTTTTCATAAAACATTCGGGGCTTGAGCCCAAGTAGCCGGGCCTAACGCCGCCCCTGGAAAGTGATGTGGTGTATGAGCTAGGACTGCTGTTAAAAACAGTCAGATATAATAACAGTGCTTTAAAATGATTGTTTATTCAATAAAAGCAACAGGGCCGTGCAGAGACCTTTGACGGAGCGGGGGCTCAAAGTAAAAAAAAAAAGGGGCACTTATAGAGCAATTGAACAAGTTAGAACATTCTGATAATGAGACCCTTGGGTTCAAACAATGTAATAAAAATATATCAATTAGTGTCATTAGTGTTAATATTAGTTCATAAATAACAGTTTTAGTTTTTAAAGCTGACTTATATCTAGAGATGTTACAACCACATTTTTGCCCCTGATCCGGGTCCAAGTTGTTTGATTTTTTATTATCTTCCAATACTGAGTCCTGTTCTGAAACCAGGTGGTGATGCAACACATTATAAAAGAAGAAAGAAGTTGTCCTTCTGTCTGTATTTGTCATTTTGTTGTTTTATCCTGAAAAGGTCACTCATTCAGGAAGTACATTTAACAGGAATCAAGATTCAAGATAATTTATTGCTATTGCACAGGTGTACAACCAAATATATTTTGCACCTACTAAAGACAGCTCTAGTAAGAGGTAGTAAAATAAATGTAAAATAAATGCAACCACAGAGACTTATCCAGTGTGATCTACAGCTATGTTAGCTGAGATCTTTGTCCTATCAGTAGAAAATTCTTGATCCCATTCCATGATCTCACTGAACTCAACACTAAACATGAGAGCTCTGCTACCAACCTAACAACAACACCCTTTACACAAAGGCATCATCATCACATACGTGGCAGGAGTCTCAGAGAAACGTAGAAGAATCTTCTCCAAACACAACATCCCGGTAAACTTTAAACCCAACAACACCCTCAGACAGAACCTGGTCCATCCAGAAGACAAAACACCCAAACAGAAGCTCAGTGGGGTCGTTTATGCAGTCCAGTGTAGTGAGGACTGTCCAGCAGATGTTTACATTAGAGAAACTAAACAACAATTACACAAGAACATAACACAACACAGGAGAGCCGCCTCTTCAGGTCAAAACTCTGCAGTCCACTGTCACCTGAAGGACAAGGGACACACCTTTGAAGATGACAAAGTCCACATTCTGGACAGAGAAGATGGATGATTTGAGAGAGGAGTAAAAGAAGCTATGTAAAAACGTGAAAACCCCACTTTAAATAGGGGAGGGGCTTAGATTTCACCTTTCCAGCACCAATAATGCAGCTTTGAATTTCATTCAGTTTCAGTCTAGGTCACACCTTCCTGCATCTAATCAACACGATGACTTACCATCAGTAAAGGCTAACGACTCATCAGGAGATGGAGAGGCGGGGTACTCAGAGTAGTCTCTACTCTTTAAATAACAACAGACAGCTACAGCTTATGAGCTTGACTCTTCCATATTCCAGTTAGAACTGACAAAGCTCCTCAGAGGAGAAGTGAAATGTTTTATAGAAACCAAAGAAGTCCAGTTGCCTTCATTTGAACTCTTTGGAGTAATAGTCAATAATAAAAAATACATAATAAAGTAATAAAACGTATATAATTATGCCCACATTCACTTTTACCATCATTTTGTGGGAGGAGAAAAATTGATCACGGTTAACCCTCTTATGACCATAAATATAACTGGTATTTTTTGTTTTGTTTTATGGCTATAAAATTGTAATAAAAGTGCAAAATGTTTGTAACTCTGCTCCTTTTTCCAGAACAACCTCAGCTTTCAGTGTCTGGCTTGTATTTAGTGTTTATGTTTATTAAAGTCTGCAAAACTGCAGCTTAAATGAAAAAAAAGGATTTGAATTTTCTTTACATTTATTACTAAACAGGAACTTCAAAATGACTTGAGCAAACTATGTCAAAAGAACTATTTAAACTCAGAACTGTGTTGCAAACACTCAGAAAAAAGTGTCACCCTGACCATTCGGTTGGACTGCCTGTCGACCTCCAAGGAAAACTATTTGCCGTTGCTACACCCCTCCTGCCCCAACACATTCTCACTCCCAGCGCGTCAAAAACAAAGGCTTGGTCAGCCACCCCCCGCGTCAGACCCCTCACGCCAAAAGTGCCCTTTTTCGTCACTTATGTGCGAAAAGGGGTTATAACGTTCCCCTTGGGCGGCAAATACAAAAATTCACAGTCAGAATGCAAGGGAAACAAATGCTTGATCACAGTGAGAGTAACGTTTTAGGTAGCAAGATGGTTAAGGGGTGAGGGGAAGGTTAAATAAGAGGATAAGGTTTGGGTGAGGTACAATGAGCTTGTTTGGTGCCCTGGCTGCGGACATCCCATCGCGTCAGTTCTACGTTGCATTGGGATCTGCAGTCAGAAATGGGAAAAACCCCTTTTCGCACATAAGTGACGAAAAAGGGCAGTTTTGGCGTCAGGGGTCTGACGTGGAGGGTGGCTGACCAAGTGTTTGTTTTTGACGAGCTGGGAGTGAGTTGCCTGCCCACACAGTGTCAACTGCACTGGGCAGATCTACAGCATGCAGGCTTAGCCGCACTGGCCACTTGGAACAAGGACAGGACCTTTTACTGGTAATGACCTGCCTGGGGGGTCTTTAAATACCAAAACACATCATCCTTTTGGCAATTCTTCCCTTAGACATTAAAAGCATGGAGTCAAAAATTGTAACTTTATTTAAATTCCCACACATCAGAATTTTGAGCTGCATAATAAACACAGAAGCAACAGCGCGTGTCAGCTTCAGTGATGAAAAGCAACTTAAGCAGGTTTCAGGGCGCTGTGACTGTTGGTGACCACACAAAGAAGGTATTCTAATTTTTAGTAGAACTTATACTGAGTTGGAATGAAATGGTTTTGATGATGTTTACTGACTCGAGTACATGGCTCTGAGGTTCACAATAACGTCTAAGATATTTAGGAACGTTCTGTTAGTGCTGTTGGCAGCTTGTCTCCAACAGTTGACCCCCCCCCCCCAGTGAGATACTAGGTTAGTGTGAGGGTTTTCTCTGGTCCCAGTCATCTTAATAGATCTTCAGGGTCTCAATTAACAGACTTAATGAACTAGAGGCATATTTGGGACATGCTTTTGTGGCTGATTGGTGTTGCTCCGCCCTCAAGATGGACCTTTTCTGGTTTTGGTATCCCATACCCCAGGTCACTTGATCTGACCTCACGGCCTCTGAGCTGCAGCAGTTTCCTGCTGCTGACCGTTCAGTCTTTACAGGAGAACAGATGTCATTCAGGAGGTTGGGAATGTCCTGCAGGAGCACTGTAACTGCTGTTGCTGTTTATTTCTTCATTTATTTATTTTCCCATTTGTAAGACACTGGGTTGGTTAGGTTTCCTGTAATTTTATTTTGAAAAGCTACATGAGCTGCTCTGCCAGCCACACCCTTAATTTGATGAATACAAGCCAGGTGTGAGGGACACGCAGAACCTGGATGAAGTGCTGGCAAGCAGCTAGCAGAGAACGGACAGAAATTCAATACATTGCCAAAGGAATAAAGAATAAAAGGACTTAAAGGAAGACAGATGGATTCCCTTTGTGTTTTAAGCAAAACAGCCAACGAGTTTCACTGTGATTCCCTCCAAGCAACACAGACGCAAGTGATTTCTTTACGGGTTTAAGGGAGGTCTAAGGAAAGGAGGACAGAAGAGGTCCACAAAGAAAGGACGTCTAATAAACCCGTAAAGAAACCTCTACCATGGACAGGAAGCACAGAAACAAATCAGTCTTACTGCACACACCTACAGCTGTCGTGTTTAATGAAATCTACTGATGTGATGAGGCTAACATTTACACAGGACCTGGGTCTGGTTCCTGCGGCCCCTCATGGTGGTTCTGATCTCATGTGCACTAATACACTGACTGGTCTTGGTCGTCTGAAGACTAAACAGGAGATGAGAGGAGAATTTAAGTCAAAGTTAACATGTGGAGTCAGACACCCAGGAGGCCTGCTTTCTAAATAGTGATGCTGTTTTCCACACGGCTGGGCAGGAGGAAAAGGTACTGCAGGTCCAGCCCGGCATTCTGATCCAGGATGTAGTTCTCGATCTCCTTCAGCTTCGTTCTGAAGCTGTCAACCACCTCCAGGGCTTCTTCCTCAGTGAAATGGTCTTCTGTGTACTGACCCAAAGGAATCTGGGCAGCAGAATCCTGGGTAAAGACACATTTCTACAATTTTACTGGAATAATAGTTGGCATTAAGTAAGCAGTCAGTCATTTAGAAGTGCTTGGGCACCGTTGCAGTAGAGAGTCTTCTCAGACTTTCTCAGATGGACCTGTGGGGTTGTGACCAGGTGAACTTGTGTGACTCATAAATCACACAGAACTGACAGAGGATCAGTCATCATTAACCATCTGAAACCTCACAGGCGCTGTACACTTTAAACTTTTGTTCTATTTCTCTCAAACCTGTAGTTATTCAGGACAGGCAAACTTCCACCCAAACTCCCATTTCTGGTTTTTTAATGTGACAGTGTGAGCGTCCCGTCACAATGTCCCGATTGATGATGCGCCCTGGCTACCTGGCCAAGGGGATGTCCCTTTGGCTGACTGGTTAGAGTGTATGACTCTCACCCGGGAGTCTGGGGATCGAATCCCGCCCGGGCCCTCGTTTCTCCACCTTGCCACATTAATTTAAGAAAAGAATTTGAACATTAATTATTTTAAAATAATTATTCAAAAGGGTTTCCCTCAAAAAAATCCCATATGTGGCATGTCCAGGGGTGGCCCAAATGGGGCACTTGTTTATGCCTGGGGGCACCTTTAGTTATGCTTTCTAAAGACGGTGGAGAGGGGGTGGGGTTGTCGCCCCCTCATCAACAGGACTGGAGTGTGGAGCAGGGCTATAAATGCTATTTATGTCAATATGAAAAATAAACAATGATAATGCACAAATGTTTTGTAGGTCTGCAGCTTGAAACAAATGTTAAAGAAGCACACTGCCACCAACTGCCCTAAGCCTTTGGTGGACAATGGCCCAATCCCAATACTCGCACTTCCCCACTTGCGCCCTTTCCTACCAGGGGTGCGAGTGCGTAGGGTGTCCCGATTCTCAAGTGCAGAAGTAGATCACGCCCCCTTTTGCACACTTGGTCTGCACTTCACCCAAGTCCTATTTTAAAAATGTGTGTTTTGAAATGAAAGTAGTTCATTTCAGGATGATTAGTTGATGCTCTGAATGTTTTAGACAAAGCAGCAATGAATGCAAATTTATTTTAAATAACTGGCTGTTTGTTGGAAAGTTGTTAAAGTTTTTTTTTAAAACTAGCACCATGCATCCATGCGTTGCGGTCGATGACACAATGCTCCCTGTCCCATTTGGCAGTTATTTGCACACTTGTGTACCACACACTCAAAGCCTTAATGTGCACTTCGTCCACGTGCACTTCACAGAAGACCGTAGGGCGCAGTGCGAGTGTTGGGATTGGGCTAATGTAAAGTCAGTTTAAATGGAACTCAGCGGGGTGGCACCTGGGGGTGGCCAATCAGATTCCAAGGGTGGGCTGTGCCACCCCAGGCCGCTCGCTGGACACACCCCTGGCTGGCATGAATTAAGTTACTTCAAGCAGGTGCTCAGGTCTCAGGAGCTTAAATCAGATGCTGAACCCTCAAAGAGACCCGAGGAGCTCGACGTGGGCTCACCGCGTCGGGTTGGGCCCGTCCCAGATGCCAGGTGATGGCCATCTGTACGCAGGACTGGCTGACATCAGGGAGGGTGGCCATGATTCTCTCCATGGTAACGTCATCCTTATCTGCTGGTGGGGGCAGTCTCATGGTGCAGGGGGTGTTGGGGACCCAGGCACACCAGTCAAACTAAAGAGGAGGAGACAGTGAGAAAAGACGCTCTGAAATTAAGAGTTTCTTGTAACACACACACACACACACACACACACACACACACACACACACACACACACACACACACACGAATGTTCAGACCTGTCCGTTGTTAGTGGCAGCATGTTGAGCTGTGCTGGTGAAAATGGCCACAGCTAAGAGGGTGGAGAGCTCTTCTCTACTGCTCAGACTACTTGCCAGACCTGAAACATCCAAAAGACAGAAATGAACCTTGATGTGTGAACCATCCGTGTCTGGTATCAGTGATCCAGCCTATGGGAACCTACGAGCACACTCACGCTGAACTTTGGTAAAGCTGAAAGAATTGTGGTGAACCTAACAAGTCCATCTGGACCTGACTACAGCGTGAGGCCATGATGACACTCGTGGGTTGCAGGCTGTTGTCCTTAGCAACAGTAAAGGCAACCACCTGCACCGGTCTAGAGCAGCCTTACATGGTAAGTCAGAGCGTGTATGTGGGACAGCAGTAGCTCAGGAGGTAGAGCGGGGTTTTCAGGAAGGTTGCAGGTTCAATCCCGGCTCCTATCAGAGAATGCTGCTGCTGTGTCCCTAAGCAAGACACTTAACCTTTTGCATAGGCATGCCCCCTCGCGGGCCCTTCGCTCAGCCGGCAGGGAGCTGTTGATGGTTCCACGCACTAAGTACAGGTCACGGGGGGACCGTGCGTTCTCGGTGTTGGCACCTGCACTTTGGAACCAGTTGCCTTTGGTGGTGCGTCAGTCACCCTCACTGGGGGGTTTTTAAGACTCGCCTTAAGACCCATTTTTTTGTCGAGGCTTTTCAGGATTAGCAAATTTTACCCGGTTTCGATGCCCCGGCCTCTTAATCTTTTCCAGGATTTTATTTTTTGCTTTTACTCTCCTCTTTTAATTGATTTTATGTTGTTTTACGATTGTTATATTTTATTCTGATGGGTTTATGTTTTTATTGTGTTGTGTTCAGCACCTTGAGCGTCTGCATTGGTCGCAGAAGGGGCTTTATAAACAAATGAAATGAAAGAAGACGCTGTACAATCACAGACCAGACCATGAGTTGTATCATTTATGGTAAATATTCTAGACCTGAAGCCAGATCTTCCTATAAAAAGACCTTTGATCTCAGTGGGTCTAACCTGCTCAGCACTTTTGGATTTGAGTTTGTTGTGTTGAAAACGTTCTATAAATAAGTTTGGAGTGGATGGGAGTCTGCATTTCCAGAGATAACGAGTTACCAAAGCTGGGAAGCTCGGTGAAACCTTCCAGTGAAATGTCTCTGATCCAGGCCTGCAGCTCTGGGTCCTTCTGCACATCCTGGTCTGTGTGGTAGTACAGGTTCACCATACTGGAGACAAAACTGGGAGGAGCATTACAGGTTAGAATCATTCACACAACTCATAACAGAGATGCACATGGGGTCATAAAGGCCACAGGACCAGTGTCCCAAACATCTAGGTAGATTCACCTTCCATTAACACACAAAACCACACAGATGTCACTCTCACTCGTTATCTAAACTGTTGTCCTCAGTAGGGCTGCAGTTTGCTGGTGTTTAAGTCAGCAGTCATTGGGTGAGAGGTGAGGACACCCCGGACATGCCTCTAGTCCATCACAGGGACACGCATAGACAAACAGCCAGTCACACACTCACTGACTCACACAGGGACAATTTAGAGCAGGGGTGTCAAACATATGGCCCGCGGGCCAGATCCGGCCCGCAAACGGGTTAAGTCCGGCCCGCGAGATGGTTGTATAAACTTTATTTTCATACTTTACAATGTAGAGTGAAAATAAACTCTAATTTTTCAATAAAAAACCTGCTGTTCCCAATACGTTCACTAGATGGTGGAATAGGCATTGTGTTAAGCAAGCAAGCCGTTTATCCTCAGCCAGAGCAAGTACGTCAACCAAGTGCAACAGGTGTTCTGACGAGCTACTTGCTCCCGATATCTAATCCGGCGTCTACATTTTGTGCTTCAGCCCAAGATGTCTGTCAAAAAGGAGAAAAGTGGACACGGAGTGCAGGTTGTTCCAAGAAAAATGGACATCTCCCTATTTTTTCATGGAAGTGAACAGAAAAGCTGTGTGTTTGGTGTGTTCTCAGCATGTTGCAGTGCTGAAAGAATATAATCTTCGTCGCCATTGTGTGAGTCTTCATGCCGAAAAATATGACAAATTTGAAGGACAGCGGAGAAGAGCGAAGGTGAATGAACTGTTGGCCGGACTGAAGAAACAGCAGTCTGCGTTTACTCACAGCCGAGATATCAGTGATGCTGCAGTGAAAGCTAGCTACCTGATTGCTAATGAAATTGCAGTGACTTCAAAACCGCTTAGTGAGGGGGAATTTGTAAAAACGTGCATGATGAAGGCAGCGGAGATTGTGTGCCCTGAAAAGCGCCAAGCTTTTGCAAATATCAGCCTGACCAGAAACACAATTGCAGACAGGATTTCTGATATTTCAGCGGATTTGGACAGCCAATTGAAGGAAAAAGTAAAGTCCTTTATTGCTTTTTCAGTTGCTGTTGATGAAAGCACGGACATTACAGATGTTGCTCAACTGGCGATTTTCATCTGTGGAGTTGATGACACGTTGACCGTCATCGAGGAGTTTGTTGAGCTGGTGCCCATGACGGATACAACAACAGCAGCTGATATTTTCACCGCACTCGGAGCACTGGACAGGGTCGGAGTGCAATGGTCCCGCGTTGTAACCCTCGCTACAGATGGTGCGCCCTCAGTGATTGGGAGAAAAGCAGGTTTTAATTTACCGGTCCGGCCCACTTGGAATTAGATTTTCCTCAGTGTGGCCCCTGAGCTAAAATGAGTTTGACACCCCTGATAGAGCATCCAGGTAACCCAACATGTGTGCTTTGAACAACTATCAACCAGATGAGAAATTCCTACTTTTTTTTTTTTTTACTTTTTGTCTCTAACTTGTTCCAGTCCAGTCATTTTCTGCACTTCCTCCTAACTCAGCTGGGGTTTGATGTCTGAGCAGAGCGTGTACCTGTGGACTGCCTCCCACAGCATCAGTGAATGCTCTCTGTAGAAATAGTTTGGCAGCTGGGAAACGCCCCTGTCACTGAAGTCATAGTGGGGCTGAAGAGAGCGGTAGGTCAGCACCTTGTACTCCCGTTGGGCCAGAATCAGCAGGCCGTCACCGCCTGTGGACACAACCTACAAACATAAAGGCCATTCGGTTAAACCCGGCTGATGAGTGCAGCTTTCATCCCTCTGATGTGAAACTTAATCAGACCTACTCGTTTGAAGATGCCGTTGGCAGAGATGAGCTGAGTGCGCCCTCTGCAGTTTATCTCCAGCGTGTAGCGTAGATGAGGAGCAAGGAGCTGCAGTTAGAGAAGAAGAAAATATCATTTCTATAGCGCCTCTCAAGATAACAATCACGAGGCGCTTCACAAAAACAAAAAGTGTAAAAATATAAAAAAGCATTTAGAAAATGTTTACAAATATGTTTAAAATGAGCAAAAATAGACAATTGTGACTAAAAAATCTAAAGAAAGAGAGAGAGTGAACAGGAAAGAGGGAAATCAGTGGATCCTGAGGAAGGTGGAATAGGTGGGGAGAGCAGAATAAAGAGAGAGAGGTGAAGAAGGTCATTCAAAAGCCAGCTTGAACAAGTGAGTCTTCAGCTGCTTTTTAAAGGAGACCCCTGAGTCCACTGATCTCAGGCTCAGGGGGAGAGAGGTCCAGAGTCTGGGGGCCACAGCAGCAGATGATCTGTCACCTTTGACCTTTAGCCTGGTGCTGCACAACCAGTAGGCTTTGATTGCTGGACCTCAGGGACCTGCTGGGGGTGTAGGGACTAAGAAGATCACCAATGTAAGATGGTGCTTGTCCATGTAAGGCCCTATAGACCAGAACCAGGATCTTGAAATGAACCCTGAAGTTGACTGGCAGCCAGTGAAGCTGGAGGAGAAGCGGGGTGATGTGGGTGTGTTTGGAGGACTTGGTCAGAAGCCGAGCACAGGCGTTCTGAACCACCTGTAGACGGTTCAGGGAGGTTCTGCTCAGACACGTGAAAAGAGAGTTACAGTAGTCTAAGCGTGAGGAGATGAAGGTGTGGAGAACCGTCTCAAGTTCAGAGCGGGACAGAATGGGACTCAGCTTAGCAATGTTCCTGAGATGGAAGAAGGAAGAGCAACCAAGAGAACTGACATGAGAATCCAGGGTGAGAGCTGGGTCAAAGGTCACGCCAAGATTCCTAACAGAAGGTTTGGTGTGAGAAGCAAGCTGACCAAGAGAGTCTCTGACTTTGGGAACCAGCTTGTCTGGGGCACAGATGAGGATCTCAGTCTTCTCTTCATTCAGCTGTAGAAAGCTCCCAGCCATCCAGGTTTTGATAGAGTCTAAGCAGGTGTGTAACAGCTGCAGCTTAGACATCTCATGGGGCTTAAAGGAGATGTACTGTTGACTATCATCTGCATAAAGATGGCAGGAGATTCCTTTGAAGGAGCTCAGGATGTGCTGAAGAGGAAGCAGATAGAGGAGGAAGAGCAGAGGCCCCAGCACAGAACCTTGTGGGACACCATGGGTAAGGGAGATGATGGTTGTACAGCACACAGAAGGGTTAGCATCAGGTAACAAGTAGCACACACCTTTGTGCATACTGCACACTGAAAGTCAGTGCAGTCTGGTGGCATGAGGAAAACCTTCCTTTGTTTTAGATGAGGATGACTTTACTTTAAATAAGTCCAACATGACTGACCCAGCTCACTTTAGTGTTGAGCACAGGTTTTTGAGTCGTTCCCATTCTGCTGTCCTTCCTGCCATCTGTACTTCAACAGACTACAGGAAAGGCTGTCTCCATGAAAACAACCAAGCTGAGGAGTGGGTTCAGTACCCAGAGCTTCAGAAGCCACTTACCTTGTAAATGGGGTGAACAGCAGGCAGCTGTCTGAGGGTGGCCACACAGAACACCTCCACAACCAGGTGGGTCCGAAGCAGGTGGGACAGGAGCTGGAAGACCTGAAACTCTGAGTGTCGAACCCACATCTTGGCAAACAGCCAGGCCAGGGGGGCATCTTTGGGCAGGAATATCGGCGTTTCCAAACCAGGACTCTGCTCCAGCTGAGGGCATGAGAGATAACAGTCCACTGGTCCAAACATCACAAAGAACCTGAAGTCTGTCATCAGACTTCCTGCTGCTGTCCAGCTGTTGCCGCTTTACTGATAAACGCTCAGTTTAATCTGTAGCGTTGATCCTACCAGATTAATGTCAATAAGTGATGAAAAGGCTGATAGACTAAAGTAGTGTTTGTTTATTTCTCCCATCATAAGAAGGTATGCTTTATCTGAAGTCCGGCAGCAGCAGGGCTCGTGTGACATCAGTGATGAGAAGATGTATCTGGACACCTGCACTTTGGACCACCTGGACTTGGGTCTTTGCTGTTGGTTTCCTACAGGATCACGGTTGTGATGGCCAAAGTAAAGTAGGTGACTCACATGCATCTCCATTTATCTTTTTATTCAAACACAATTACACACATTCATTTACAACAAGTTTATTCATAAGTTCATTATTATAAATGTAATGTCTTAACGGCTAAATGTCTTACCTGAATGGCGATGGGTATCAGTCCATCATCTGGGTGTTGGTACAGAAGGCAGATTGGAGCAGCGATGTACTGAAGTTTTCCTTTTATTGTGTTGGCAGGAATCCCATCCATGATGCTGTAGTCCAACAGGTAGATGTTTCCAGCCTGGATAAGAAGAGATGCAGAAGAGGAAACTTCTATAACTGTGATGTTACACGGATGTTTCAGTTAGTCATCAAAACCTTTCTCCACCTGGAGTTCTTTGTTCAGAGTTGTTTTTGAGGCCATGGAGCTCTGCACCATATCTGCTGTGACGGGGAAGTTCTCTGGCAGCTTCTGACACCTCTGGATCATCCTTGGGTTGCAGCCATTCAGACACTGGTAACCAAAGAACCAGTCCTCCTTCCAGTGCTCCATGCAGTACTCTTCAGGAACAAACAAACCGGAGGTTTTCTCTCAGTGTGAGAACATTAGCACCAGTCCGTAAGGCGGTAGCTTGTCTGGAGTCATTCTGGTAGATGATGACCTATCAGCGCTCAGCAGGAGGATGCGTCTCAGCAGGTAAATGAAACGTGTGATTAATTATTCATCATAACGATGCTTGTGTGGAATAAAACTGATGCGGTTAGGAAGCCTGATGAGGAATATCAGGTGGATCGCTTTAGGGATCATGAATCTCGTGACCACGAACATTTGAGAGCATGTGAACCGAGCATAAATGTAGATGTAAAGAGCTAGCTCTGTTTTCCCTCTCAGCACTAAATCATTTTACACTTCAAGTAGTGAGCCTCTCCTCACCAGCGATGGGGCTTCGGAGTTTCCAAAAGATCCGCTTGAAGTCATCCAAGTCATTCCAGGATTTCCCAAATCTGATGGCCAGCTTCTTCAGGGACAACTCCAGCAGACTGAGGAAAACTAAACGGGTCAGTCTTCATCTTGTGTGTGTGTGCACACCTGGTTTTTGTTGCCTCTTTAGGACATTTTCTGCTATTGCAGACTTTATGGGACCAAGGCTCTGTGGTGTGTTGAGATTGGGCTCACATGAACAAGTATGCACACACACACACACACACACACACACACACACACACACACACACACACACACACACACACACACACACACACACACACACACACACACACACACACACACACACACACACACACACACACACACACACACACACACACACACACACACACACACACACACACACACACACACACACACACACACACACACACACGTGTGTTTTTATGGGTTTGTGTGGACTACGTTTTCTGAGTTGTTTGTGTGGACCCTGACTTCCACTATAGCCAGAATGGTGCAAAAATTATGTTTAACTCTAAGTGGGACAAAGGAAGCTTCCTCTAGGATTTTGGTTGTGTGGACCGGGTAAATGTACACACAATGTTGGTCTCCCGTCAGGGGTTGGTCCACACAAACCCATAAAGACAAGTGCACACACACACACACGCACACACGCGCGCACACACACACACACACACACACACACACACACACACACACACACACACACACACACACACACACACACACACACACACACACACACACACACAGAAAACCACAGGGTGTGATCATTTCACACATGTGCAACTGCAAAGCAGTCATTAATCAAAAAGAGAGGACATCCTTGACCATCTTTTAAAACATGTGCATTGTTTGCTGTAGGTGAGTCCGACTCTACATGAACTGTCAGCCTAAGCCCTCATGGGCTGATTGTCTGTCTTGCAGCCACTGAAAACACATGCAGAACACAGCCTTGATCCTTGGTGAGAGCAAATCCAGAAGATGTGAGAAGGTCTGTCCTCAATC